GCTAACCAGAAGGTTGGCAGTACAAACTGCTGCTCCTTGGAATATTGGGCAATCTACTTCTGTAGAAATCCAAGGAGGGGTCACTGTGAGTTGAACTGACTTGACGGCAGTGAGTTTAGTGACGTTCAGTCTGACACCAAAACTTATTTGACCAAGTTCAAAAAGGTATAAAGGAGCTTTCCAATGTTGAATAGAGCCACTAACCCCTGTAACTGCTTACAATCATCTCAAATTCAATAAGGATTCATTAAACTCTGATTATGGCCAGGGTACCATCCCTTATCCTCTAATTACAGAGCATTGGGATCAGATTTTGAGGGACTATTCCCTGGAGAAGGATATCATGCTGGGTAAAGTGGCCAAAAACCAAACCAAACTCACTGCTGTTGAGTCACTTCCCGAGGTGATATCTCTACGGAAGTAGATTACCCAGTCTTCCTTCCGAGGAGTGGCTGGTGGGTTTGAACCACCAGCTTTCTGGTTAGTAGTCAAATGCCTTAGGCACTAGGTAAAGTGGAGGGTCAGCAAAAAAGGGGAAGACTCCCAGTGAGATAACTGGCACAGTGGCTACAATGATGGGTTCAGGTATAGCAGGGATTATGAGAATGGCTCACGACCAGGCAGTGTTTGGTTCTGTTGTACACAGGGTCGCTGTGAGTGGGAGCCAACTCTGTGGCACCTAACAACCACCATCCAATGAGGATTCCTAATAGTAACACATACCTAGCATTCCTTAAGCTCTTCTTTAACTGCATTACAACCAAGGACTCAACAACCTTCAAGGATATTCGATTGTTAAAGTTCGTAGTCTTTAGAGCATGGCATTTGGGACCTCCACAATTGTTCATAATCTACTTTTCAAATCATAAGTCTCACTGTTCCTCAGAATGAATCCTCTGCTATAGTTAAATTGATCTGCTTACTACCTCCTGAGCATGATTATTTTTCCACCTGGACACTTTTCCCTTTAGATCTGTGCCACTAGTCACATATGGCTATTGAGAAAATATCTTAGTAATGAGTTGGGGCCGACTCGACGGCACATAACAACAACAATTTAAAAAATGACATATTGAAATGTCAAACTTAGATGAAATGCATTATTAATATTCCTTTTTTGCTTTTTAACGTGACTAGTGTTGTTGTTATGTGCCATCGAGTTGGACATGACTCATAGCGACCCCTCCTTGGGTTCCTGAGACAGTATCACTACGGAAGTAGATTGCCCCATCTTCATTCCGAGGAGTGGCTGGTGAGTTTGAACCACGAGGCTTCTGGTTAGCAGTCAAGTGCCTTAGCCACTATGCTACCAGAGCTCCCAATGTGACTATTAGAAAATTTAAAATTATGTATGTAGCTTAGGGAGCTCTGGTGGTATAGTGCCTAAGGCATTTGACTGCTAACCAGAAGGCTGGCGGTTTAAACCCACAAGCCACCCTTTGGAAGGAAGCCTGGGCAATCTACTTCCATAGTGATACCACCTTGGAAACTCAAGGAGGAGTTGCTATAAGTTGGATCCCACTCGACAGCAGTGAACTTGGGCAGTGAATTTGGTTTATATGTAGCTTGCATTATTATTTTTGATGGACAGTGCTGCTACAGATCATTAGCTTAACCTCTTAGACCAAGCAGAACTGGGCCCATTACTCAAGCCCATCTCTGTATTTTTCACATTCTGAAATAAGTGAAGAATGATAGAAAATTCTGAGTGAATGTGGGTTCATACACTTTTGGCAGGCATGTCCTCTTTGTCATCAAAGTTGCTATCTCTGATCAGCTGACAACTCAAGAAACAAAGACTGTGTCAAAGGCAGAGGATAATTAATATCTTGTGGCATACAGCAGCTGCTCAGTATTAAACCAAAAAACCAAACCCACTGCCATCGAGTTGATTCCTTAGATGACTTCTTTTAGTCATCCACACTAAAAAAATCTTAGATCCCATCTTAATCTGTCCCATTTTTCATCTTCCACTTCCAGTATGTCACTAAAATGTCAGCTCTTCTTGTGAAATTCTTTCAATTCTATTCCTTTTCTCCCAACCCACACCTAATCAGTCTTCTGAAAAACTAGTTTCTGATTTTTGACAGCTAGTTGCTGACTAGTTTCCCAGCTTTCTTTTCCCCTCCCTGTGTTCATTCCATTCTATGTACTGTACCTAGAATAATCTTCCACAGTATTTCTTTACTCAGAAACCTCTAGTTTTTTCCATATTGCCTGCAGGAGGAATTCTTTCATTTAACATTCAAGGCTTTCCATACTTTATTTCTTAGTACACCATTCCATAAAACCTGGGCTTAAGCTAAACTTGTTGTTGTTGTTGTTATGTGCCGTCGAGTCAAACCCGACTCATAGTGACCCCTCCTTGGGTTTCCGAGGCAGTATCACTACGGAAGTAGGATT